TCATACCCCCCTCGCCCGCGGTACCCCCCGCCCCTCACCCCCCCCTCGGAGGACCATGGGTTAGAACCCCTATATAATACCTACTTGCTTGCGAACGCGCCGTTGCCAGCGGCCGCCACTTCTGCGTACTCGTTTAGGTGGTCTGCTCTCGAGCGAATAGGATCGCTTGTTGGGCCATCCTTCCCGGCTGGAGGATAACTCGGCCATCCTATCGAGCGCTGCGCAAGAGTCCTACAGCCTTGCCTGCACCACACACCAGATGATTGAGCGGCACAGGGGACAAGTGTCCAGTCGACTTGCGCAGATCGCGCACGTGACGAAGTGTCGGCAGGGCAGCAGTAATGCGTTTCGCGCGCCGTAACAAATGCAGCATTCGTGAGCCGCGTTTTCGTCTTTATAGGAAGAAGAAGCATCGGTCGTCGCCGTCGTCGTCGTCTCCACTACCACGTCGCTGCTGTCGGCACGTTTGCGATGATGCAACAAGTCTAAAGCACGCCAGACACTCTCCATTAGTGTGAAACGCTGTATCGTATCGCCGCCGGAGTAAAGAAGACACTCCCACGCGGTATGCGCTTGTTCCCAGCGCGACACCGCGCTCTGATATGAGTCAGTGATACGACCAACGATCTTCACCATCATCCGGTATGCCTGAAACTCACGATCGAGCGCGCGGGATACGTCCAGCAATTTTATGCGGATGTTTGGCCCGAAGTCTCCCACCCCCGACAACGTGCCTCGCGATGCTAGTTTTGTACGCCGAACGTACGGCGGCAGCGAGGGTGCCGCGGTCATCATGCACGTGCGATTCCAGGCAGCGTGATCGCGTGTCACAGAGAGCTGCGAGTCGTGCAACGGCCATTCGCCGATCGCCAGACCGCATTTGAAGCAAACTGTTATGTCACCCAAGCCGCTGTAAAAGAATCCACAGGCCGCTAATTCGTACGTTCTCATTATGTTTTTAATGTCGTCTGGCGGTCGTAGTCTATCGTCTGGTGGTCGCAATCTGTCGTCGCGCTCTCCTCTGCCGACAACAGAGGCCAGTTCATCTTCGGCCGGAGATAGCGACCTCGAGGTCGCAGGATGCGACGCGTGTGGCCAATTAGCAAAGGAATTTCGGCGCCGAGCATACGAATCATAATACGGAAAGATACAGCCGCTTCCGCAGCCGGTCTGATAGTACTCTAATTGATTAAGTTGGGTGGCCGTCATGGTGACTGTGCCGTTCTTAAAAATTCGGGAACACCACGCGCCAAGCACAAACGGTGCACACGCCAATTAGTGACACAAGTGTTGTCGCGCCAAAATCTGATATCGCAGACGATCAAATTCATCGCGACTGATAAGTCAATCGGTTCAAGTGCCATGTCGATATCAGTTCAAAACAAGAGTCATTGTTCTCGCGTTGATGAAGGACGGATTACTTCGGCGAAATTAGATTATTGCTTATCTTCCAGCTAATCAGGTATGATACGGCACCTGATGTGACGGAATATGAATAGAGTATTTGTCAAGTAGTGACCCTCATAACTGATAACACAGTGACGGTGCGGATAGTTTCGAGTAACTGCAGGGTATATAATTCGGCACCGACGGCGATAGCACATTTGTTTCCTTGCTGCCCGTCAGGCTGGATGTGGTTCGTCGTGTCACCTGACGCTACGACGTCGCGCAGCTATGGAGTTTTGCTTCGATGAGGTGGTAACGTTAGAGAAGTCACTGTCGAGCTGGAGCTGGAACAATGCGGAGACCTTGCAGCGAGAGTACTTGAAATACTTGTCGGACGAATTCTTTGCATCGGTTCTAGTGGAGAGATCAATGCGCCGAAAGATTAACATGCTGGCGGATCAACTGTGCAAACTGTTTTCACACTGGAGCGATCAAGTGCAACGCTCTGCACTCAGAGCCTTATCGCTTTTGCAAAAAAAAGAAGAGCAAGAGCAACGAGCACATCGCCGGCTTCGGCTACAGGCGGAAATGGAGGAAAAGGCTCGACAGATCAAGGAAAATATTGCACTGGAATTGCAGTTGCAACTGCGAGAGAACGTTCGTATATTCCGAGCAAATGAACGAAGAAGGAGGAGGTTGCTCGATGTCGCTGAAACGGGCGCCTAGTTCACAGATGATGGATCCAATCGTATGTTTGAAGCGTGGGAGGAAAAGTGTCAATTTGGACGCGGAGAATTCCGAAAAGGAGGATACGCGAACTCGAACTCCGATATCACGTAAATGGCGCCGCTCTGTACAATCATCTTTGTCACAAGTGGGATTTGTGTCTGTTTCTCCCAACAAATCGAAAAGGATAAAACCAATCAAGAAAGCATTACCGTACGTGCAGCGCGTGCCGTCGCACAGTGCACAGGTGCCAGTGCATTCACCTCACGTACCGCAGCCTGCACAAATACCGAGCACACCTCCTTTGTTGATGCAACAACTCACAGACATGAGGTTGCACCAAGCGATATCGCCGCCGAGAGCACAGCCGCCGAAAGCACAGCCGCCGAAAGCACAGCCGCCGAAAGCACAGTCGCCGCAGCAGCCGCTGAGTGCGGTGCGGCTCGTGAAATCGCAAGCACCACAGTCATCGAAGCCGTTACCGCCGAGTGCGAGTGGTGACAAATCTTTCACGCCGATCGATAAAGTGCCGGTAATAGAGTCTAAACCAACTTCCAGCAATGATGGATCAACTTCTTTCCGTGCTGCATTTGGGGTGACACCTGTGGCCACCAAGTCGATGACTGTGCTTGCTGCCTCTGCCGCCGAGGACTACGACGGTGACGACTACGATGACCAGTCGGATGCTGCTGCTGATGATGACGACTATGACGACGAGGAGGAAGAGTACGAGCACGTAGACGGCGAAAAGGTACAAGCGTTGCCGCCAGCTGCTCCGGCTGAGGAGGTCGTCGTGGACGAGACCGAATTGGCGGTTAGCAGTATCGTACCGCCTGTGGATGCCACTGGATTGGAATTACCCCCCGACTGGAAGTACGACGACAGTACGTCGCAAGATGCAGCAGACGCCGCTGACAATCTGTCGTCGTCGCGAATGTACGAACAACAATTTGCTACACCGGTTAAGGTAAATGACACAATAACTCTAAAGAAACACCTTCGATCCGTACAAGTCCTGGTACCTACGGCCCTTCAAGCGCATTTCACCTTAGATTGCGATTACTATACGACATTTGTAAAGAAAGCATCTTTTTACACGTTAGTAGCGCAGAGCGACGGCTCTCTGTCTGTTTTCACGAAGGCCAATCGGCGCTCGCAGCAGTGCTCGCGACTCGTAGAAAGGTGGGAAAAGTCAGCGCGTGAACGTTACGCTTCGTTCGAGTGTAACATTGCGCTCGATTGCGAAGAACGAGAAGCGATTGTATTAGCCGTGACAGAATGTTCCAACGGCGCAGATGTCGAGAAATTCTTGAGCGAGGTGTATTCGTTAAAGTCATGGCTCATTGGCACGGCGGCGCAACCGTTTTGCACGAGTACCGATCGGGGGGGCGATGTCATTGCGTTCGCGTTGGGCGATAAATCGATTCGACATGTACCGCGTATTCTTACCACCGTAGCGGAGGCATACGCGTTACGTAAGTGCACGACGAGTGGCTGGTGGTATCAGTTGCGTCTGTTGAAATGCAACGGCGGCACCGAGTACATAAATGTCGGCGAAGTACGCAAAACGGATCATGTCAAGGCAGCCGATCTCATTTCTCGCGAACGACAATTGGCCGAAAACGTGTATTCTCTAAAATCCGAGCTCAAGCTCGTCATACAATATGAAGATTTCAAAGACTGTATGTTCGTAAATGCTAAGATAAACGGGCGTACGAAAAAGCCCATCTGTTCATGCGCCGATATATATTGTGACGTATGATATGTCTTTTTTCCAGAAGAAAAAGCCGAAGATTGTGTCGATAGAAAACGTCAGTATAGGAAGAGCTGTAACTCTGCGTACCAAATAAATCATATATTTACATCGTCACCTAAGACGTTTGATTTATGCTCCCCCCCGCTCCCATCCTATCGACGCCACCGAATGGGTGGCAAACATGAGGATGCGCGCAACTTCTTCGCTGCGGTTCAGGCATGGTTTGTGCGCACCGACAAAATGGACAGTCTGGATCGAAGGAAAAAGCACTTATTGGGAAAGCATATCAAATGATAATTGTAAATTTAACCATTATGATGTATTATTCGAAGGATACGCAGATAAAATAACGGATACCGTAAATGAAAAATTAATAATTGTATATTCATTATCAACAGAAGATATAACTTTTGCTCTTACTAAAACAGGAGAGGAATTTCTTTGCGGATATTCTCTAATCAAGACAGAACATCCTAAACTATTAATACTAGAAACAAAAAGAGGAAAATCATTTACACAACAAAATAAAAAAGCAATTGAAAACATAGACATATTTGATTACATCAATTCAAAATTTATTTATGTGGAAAAACACATTCAAACACAAATGAAATATTTATACAGAGACATACTTCAGCAACGATGCAACCTTGAACAACAAGTTATTAAAAATGCACTAAGCATCGCTGTACACTCACCAGATGAATTCGCTTATCAGTTCATGAAAGGATCAGGATATATGGCAACAATTCCTGGAGAAGTCGTATATATAATTAAATGTATTCCAGTGGAAGTAACAATACGATATATTGAAAAATGTTACAATCAATTACCTGTATACAAAGGAAATGAAACTTACTTTTTGGCTCCACGAACACATGTTTTATTAAAAACAAGGACACAAACAACATGCAACAAAATAATACCAACTATGTATTATCTAAAGGTCTGATACATGGTACAAAATTTCTCCAACACCGGAATTAGGCATGCCACCAATGAAGATTAAGCCAATGACCCAGCCAACATGGGAATATGAAAATCCTGGCTCTTTGGCAACAAGCGGGATTTATAATAATAAAGATTTAAAAAATTTAAGAGAATACATTATGTTCCCAGCCGAGAAGAATGGAATATTTAATACCATGGCACGAAGAGTTAAAGGCAAACCAACTGAGCAACAAGGAATATCGCTTTCACATCTTCTGGATGAATCATCTATAGAAAAAATTATCAAAAACACATGAAAGAAAATTTGGGGAACATTCATAATCTTTGGAAATGCCAGTGCAGGATTAATTGGAATATATTTCTGCACCAGAACAATTAAATTAGTCATTGATACTATAATTCACGGATACGCTATTCATTCAATTTATGGCTGGTCAATTCATTTAATTGGACTTTGGGTCTCAGTAACAAATTTACTGATACATCTTGGAAAAGGAGCAACACCATAAGAAGAAAGAAGAAATGAAGAAAATCCTGGACCAACTACTGCACCAGCAACAAAACATAAAGAAATACTAACTAGACAACAAACTCAAGACACAACATAAACCAATACAAACACTAACAATTTCAAATATACAACAAAATACTCGCAATGAAGTACCAAATCCATACCAAGATTATTTTAATATCTTATCCGTTATTTTATATAATATTTTGTCTATTATTATATAGAAATGAAATTACCACAAGAAAAAGAAAATAAGGACTTCCAGGAATTTTGTGGACCGATCGATGGAGTGAGACCGATCGATCATTTTGAGATATACGCGTCCCTCATAGCAAGCGTATGTATGGAAGCAGTAAACTCAGAAGAAACAATTTACATCAAACCGGCAGATTGGACGGGTCAAAAAATAAAGCTGTGCGAACTATGCTGGCACAACGTGGGGCAACCAGAAGAATACACTATTTTAGAAAATAAACATTTATTATGTCTGGTCCGAGAATTACACCCAGGCATAACTCTCAGTTGCAATCAATGTAAAAAACTTTTATTCAAAAGAAAAGAGGCGGCGCGCAATTGTACCGACTGCATAGAAGAATTTTTACAAGATCCAGAACGTATTTGTTATAATCGTTAGTATTATTTTTAGCGTTGCCGAAACGTTTCGTAAGAAACCGCTTCGACAGCGCTACAACATTATTATGATTGCGCAAGTGCTACGCTAAGCGTCGCCTTGAAAATATATTACAACATATTGGGGACAGGTCAGCATTAAATACAACAACTTTACAGTTGTCTAAACACCCCCGCCTATGACCTAATTATAGATTATAAAAGGACCAGAGAAGAACGCCAAACAGGCTATTGCTCCTCCGGTCCTGCGACAGCAACTTACGCGACCGTCAATTTGTATTAAGTTAATAAGAACTCGGGAAGTTCACACAAGAAGTGCATTAAATTTATTTATTTAACTACATCATTCCGCCTTTGCATTCTCGACCCACCGATCCCGAACCTACTCAACGTGCCTCTCCACTTGGGGCGCAACAAATTGGTGGCAGCGATGGGATCGGTGTCCGCCGGGGCCTAGGTGCTACCTGTAAAGAGAAACTACGGGTTAGAAAAGTGATGTAAAAAACAAAAAAAAAAAGACGATACAGTCGGAACTAACCAGTGACGTGGGAGATACGTTACTAGACAAGAGTTACCAGATATCGCAAGCACGAAGAAAAAATTACCTCGTCAACATACTTAGACGGGAAGGCTCAAGGAAGCAAAAAAGGAAACAATAAGGGGAGCTCGAAAAATTCATTACGAGACCCGAAGACGACTAACAAGGACCACACATACACAAAAAAAAAAAAGGAGAGAGAGAGAGAGAGAGCAAAAAAAGAAACATTTGGAGAGAGCTAAAAAGTCATTGAGAGCCCTCCAAGACAACACCCTGGGACCACAAGGCTAACGGAGACGGCAGAGGACAGCGGTAAACGGTGGAAGACGAGCAGCAGCGTAATCAAGTCGACCGTCGGAGCTACGGCCTACGATACTACGTTGTCAGCGACACCGGAGCCTAAGGCGACTGCACCAGCGGCGACCGCGACCCGCCCAACGCCATTGACCCAGTAACGAGCAACGACTTGCCGACTCAACCAAAACACGATCAGCTACAGAAGAGCCGTGACAACGTTATTGTAAGTCGAGACACTATTGTAATCTAAGCGATTAAGTTTATTCGAGCGAACACGTAAAAGCGTGAATGTCGAGT